GGAAGGCCTCACTCTCCCTGGGGAACAGAAATGGTATTGGATAGGTAGGATATTATTTGGGGAAGGGGAGTAGGGGATGCAGAGGGAATGGGGATTGACATGTATAACAACCTTGTTTCTAATTTAAATACAAAATTAATAAAGAAATATATAAGAACTATGACAGAGTTGTGTTTGTATGCTACCATTTTGAATGATACAATTTGAATTAGTGGAGAAACAAATTTAATAGATGAAGTTTTTTGTCTTCATTAGCCTGAGATTTGAATAATGCAGTCAATTGTGCTAAATGATAGCATGTTTGCAAAAAATAGGAATATATTCTGATTTTTTTAAGGCAGAGAAAGCATTTTACCATTTCTACAGACAATCTCATAATAAAACCTGTCTATTCTGCAACATGAATATGCCTACCTATGCTTTTGATATATTCTTGGAGTTCGCTCATATTCTTTCCCCAGATCTCATAGTTTCAATTTGTTCATAAAGCTGACCTTAAGTGAGTAATATGTTTTTACCACAGGGGAGGGTTAGAAAGTTATGATATTCTGAACTGAGAATATATTAGATTTTTCCTAAGAATTTTTGACAGTGAAAGATGTCAGAAGAGCAAACACTAGAGAGAGCTTGTAATAATAAAAAAACACCAAAAAACTAATCTTTAATAAAGTTCACTCAGGAACTATTCTTCAGGGCCCATTTATTTAAATTCAGTAGAGAAAGAAGTGATGACTTGACTGTTGTTTGAGTTCAGCACTTACTTTTGTTAAATATAGACACAAACATGAAATGTGCCATTGCCTTTTATCTGCTTTCCAGGGTGGACTGCCAAAATACTAAGTTTGTACTGCAAAGTTACTGATTCTGTTACCTCACAAAGGAATGTGCTAACTTACAAAGAAATATCCCCAAACTAACTAAAATAAAACTATGTAATAAATACATAGTTATTAGAAACAATAACTGTGTCTTATTTTCTAGCATTATTTATTGTTTATAATTCAATATTCTGAAAGTGGATTCAGTATTTTTCAGGGTTATACATTTTAGAACAATTTACCTGTATACTATTACTGGTCTTCATAATTAAAAATATGCACTTTCTAATTATAGATATGTATTTTTATAATTAAAACTATTTTAAGCAAGCAGTAATTCCATTAAACTTAATCTTTATAAACTATTCAGTACATTTATTATTATCTTAAATGCTAAATAATCTAGATTTTGCAAATCAACATTGAAAGGAGAATTTGCCTGTTCTTATAGAATTTACATAATTTTGTAAATTGGTAATGAGTACAAAATAAACATATTTATCAGGAAAATATAATGTGACAATTATTGTTAAATTATGTGAAGATCAGCTGGGTGTTGGTGGCGCACGTCTTTAAGCCCAGCACTCGGGAGGCAGAGGCAGGTGGATCTCTGTGAGTTCCAGGCCAGCCAGGTCTCCAGAGCCAGTGCCAGGATAGGCTCCAAAGCTACACAGAGAAACCCTGTCTCAAAAAAACAAAAAAAACAAAACAAAAAAAAGTTATGTGAAGATCATAAATCAGAGAATATGGATAGTAAATGTCGTTTTGTTATTTTTACATTGTGTTATTATATTTTAATTAAAAATAATTATATTACCTCTTCCTTTCCTTAGTCTCTCCAACCCTTTTCATGCCCCCGTTCTTTCTGAAATAGCTTCTTTACTTTTATTACTGTCATTATATGTATATTGGATGCATGTATGTTTCAATGTATAAATACATAAGCACAACCTGTTCAGTTTGTTTTTGTTGCTTCTGTATATATTATTTCTT